AGAGGCGGGCGCCGGCAGGGTTATTAGAACCGCTACCCACTCCTGAAAGACCATGGGAAGCAGTGGCAATAGATTTTATGACTGATCTGCCAAAGTCCAGAGGGAAAACAGCCATCATGGTTGGTAGACCTGTTAACCAAAATGGCCCACTTTATAGCCTGCTCACATGCTGTCACAGCAGAGGAAACAGCTAAATTGTTTGTAGAAAATGTGTTTAGGTTGCATGGCGCCCCCTTGAGGGTGGTTTCTGACCGAGGGAAACAATTTACTTCCAGGTTCTGGAGGAAGCTCATGAGCTTACTGCATGTAGAGGTCAATTTTTTCGACTGCCCGGCATCCTGAAACCAACGGGCAGGCAGAAAGAGCAAATGGCATCCTCCAATTTGAGGTGTTATGTCAATGACAGAGAGAATGATTGGGTGGAGAAGCGGAGAACGTGTCCACGGGGATGAGCCCCTTTTTGGCTAATTACGGGTGCCATCCCAGGGCTTTCCCAGGAGGGGAGGGGGAGAGATGGAGCGTTCCAGCTGCCGAGCAGTTCGTAGAAGAAATGGAAGCGATCCATCGCCAGCTCCAACTAAATTTAGACAGGGCCAAGGAGGAATATAAGAGGCAGGCAGACAAAAACAGAAGAGAAGGTGAAACCATTAGGGTGGGGGACCAGGTGTGGTTGTCAACCAAAGGGTTACCCTTCAAAGGAGGTTGTAAGAAGTTAAGACCCAAAAGACTGGGCCCATTTGAAGTTACGCAACAGGTCAACCCAGTGGCTTTCAGACTCCGGTTACCGAACCACATGAAGCTGCACCCAGTTTTCCACAGGTCGTTGCTGTCACCGTATAAAGGGGACAGAGAAGGGAGGGTCACTCGGGGACCAGCAATGGAGGAAAGGGAACAAAGCTACCATGTAGCGGAGATCCTTGATTCCAGGTGGAAGGGAGATCAAGTAGAGTATTTGGTAATGTGGGAAGGGGAACCGGAGTCGGAAAACACCTGGGTCATGGCAGAGGATGTCAATGACGAGGTTTTAATAGAAACTTTTCATCAGAGGTTCCCACGTAAACCTCAGCCTGTAGCGAGGTTCCGGAGGGAATACTTTGCCACCACCGACGAAGAAGAGGAGTTGGAGGGGTTCACAGATTCCGAGGAGGAGGAGGAGGAGTCAGCGAGCCGGAACGGAGACCGATGGAGGGAAATGTTCAAGACGTCTGAAGATGAAGAGGATTCTTTTCAGGGTTTTACCTCCTCACCACCCAGAGGAGAGGGAACGGGAGGGGGTGAAGGGGGCCCTGGAGGGGAGGTGGATGTCAGGGAACTGCCATCGGAGGAACCGGTGGTGGAAGGGCTCACGCAGGCTGGGAGGGACTCAGCAGCTGAAGCAGGAACCAGCAGAGGGAGAGGTGGGTCTCTGGTGGAAGGGCTCACGCAGGCTGAAAGAGACTCAGCAGCTGAAGCAGGAACCAGCAGGGGGAGAGGTGGATCTCTGAGGGAAAGCGAGCAGGAGGGAGGGCTCAGGGACACGTCCAGCGAGAACAGTGGGGATGTATCTGAAGCTCCCATAGGGAGACCCACTCCTCGCCGGAAACTGTCACGCCGTGAGTCCAGAAGACGTGTTTCCGTTAAGGAGCTGTTATGCTGGAAACGATTCCGAAAGCAACCACTGTCGGAATCTGCAAGTGACTAGAGCAGCCATGTCTGAGGGGCTCTGTCACAGACAGAAGTTTGTGGGCTTGAACAAACTCTGAGGGACTGCGAATTTACGCACAAGCAGCTCATTATCCCATCACACTTGCACACTGCTTTGTCACATTTGGTTGGCCTCTACTGCCTTAGTACGGATCTACTGAGAACCATTTTTTCCCCTGTTGGGTGATGAATTCCATGCATCTGTGTTCTTTTGGCCATGGCTGCAACCACATCCTCACATGTCTCAAAGTGAACATTTGCTTCTCCCATTGCTTGCCCACTTGGATTAGCGCATGGGTTTTGGAACTGAAACTTAGATGTCTTATAAGAGCTTAAGAAGAACCCGCTGCATCAGGCCAATGGCCCATGTTGTCCACCATCTTGTCTTCACCATGGCCAACCAGATATCTGTGGCAAACCCATAAGCCAGACTAACAAAGGCACTGTTTCTTTCTGCAGTTTCCAATAATGATGATGATGATAATAATAATAATAATAATAATAATAATAATTTTTTATTTATATCCCGCCCTCCCCAGCTGAAGCCGGGCTCAGAGCGGCTAACAACAATGAAATAATACAACATTCTAAAATCATTTCATTATAAAATTAATTCAAATCAAATTGATGGCAGCCATTGGGCTCGAGTTCTATGAGGATTACAGAAAGAGAGAGGGGGTCAGGCTGTGCCCTGGCCAAAGGCCTGGTGGAACAGCTCTGTCTTGCAAGCCCTGCGGAAAGATGTCAAGTCCCGCAGGGCCCTAGTCTCTTGTGGCAGAGCGTTCCACCAGATCGGAGCCACAGCCGAAAAAGCCCTGGCTCTGGTTGAGGCCAGCCTAACCTCTCTGTGGCCTGGGATCTCCAAGATGTTTTTGTTTGAAGACCGTAAGGTCCTCCGTGGGACATGCCAGGAGAGGCGGTCCCGTAGGTACGAGGGTCCTAGGCCGTATAGGGCTTTAAAGGTTAAAACCAGCACCTTAAACTTTATCCTGTACTTCTGTACAACTGCTATTCAGAAGCATAACTGCCTCCAGCCATTATCTTCTCATCTTTCTATTTTGGTTTGGGCTTCCATTTCAGCATCTATGCATCATGAACTCTGTGTTCTAAGCCAATCGAGATTTGGGGGAAACTATCCCCAAACCCAGGGACGCAGGTGGCGCTGTGGGTAAAAGCCTCAGCGCCTAGGGCTTGCCGATCGAAAGGTCGGCGGTTCGAATCCCCGCGGCGGGGTGCGCTCCCGCTGCTCGGTCCCAGCGCCTGCCAACCTAGCAGTTCGAAAGCACCCCCGGGTGCAAGTAGATAAATAGGGACCGCTTACCAGCGGGAAGGTAAACGGCGTTCCGTGTGCTGCGCTGGCTTGCCAGATGCAGCTTGTCACGCTGGCCACGTGACCCGGAAGTGTCTTCAGACAGCGCTGGCCCCCGGCCTCTTGAGTGAGATGGGCGCACAACCCCAGAGTCTGTCAAGACTGGCCCGTACGGGCAGGGGTACCTTTACCTTTACTTTATCCCCAAACCTGATGTCCTGGGTACTGGATAAATCAATACAACCACTTGAGTAGCCACTGAGTTCTAATGAAGTACAGAAGGTGTTCTAACTTAACTTAAAAATCCAACGATAGCACAGAGCTCAGATGACTGTTTTCCACAGGGCAAGGCTGGCTTTGCTGTGTAGCAGTTGCTTTGAATGGGAGATTACAAAACGGATGACGTTTTTTGGCTTTCAAACCCTATCCCTGTACAGCACTTAAATATCAATGGCTGGCACAACTACAAGGATGTAACCACAAAGGATTAGATAAGAATTAGCTCACAGAACCAAAACAGGCTGAGATTTTTTCAACCTGCAAAACAGGTCCGAATGCCCAAAGGAAACAGATAAGGATGGTATTTATAATAAGGGTGGTATTCTGCTAAAAGACAAATTTTCTCAGATGGCAACTTGGCACCGTTTCACACTCAAATGTGAGTCTATGAAGTGGCTTCTCATATGCTGCTCTGTACTAAATAAAGAATAATAAATAATATATATATATTTTATTTATACCCCGCCCTCCTCAGCCAGAACTGGGCTCAGGGCGGCTAACACCAATAAAATTACAATAAAACGTAATAGAAAAAGGAAAAAAGGTTAATTAAAATACGGGATAAAATACGGGTTAAAATACAATTTAAAATGCAGCCTCATTTTAGGTCAGAGCACTTAGTCTGGAATTATTTTACATACCGTAACTTGATAGCCTGGACTGTTCCAGCTCTCTCTTGTAGAAACCATGTTTTCTTAGCTGCTTCTTTTTGAGTGATAAAAGCTTTCAGGCAATAAGGTAGAAACATCTAGCTTTGGCATTTAGATGTTTTTGTTGCTTGGCCTAACCTCTGAGGTTTCCCCTCCTTCTTTGCTTTACATCATAATTGCTAATTCCGCTTTGAGCAGTAAGATTTCAAGAATCTCAAGTCTCGTGGTTGTGGCGATTGCCAGGCATTTAACATTACACACTTGCAATTTAACTATTGCAGCTTGACCTCTTCCCCTTCCCTCAGGGAAATTTAGTTCTGTGAAGGGCTAATTGGTATCTTAAATAATGTATTGTATCAAGAATTGGTATCTTAAATAATGTATTGTGTAATGTCCCCCTCCCCAAAAAAATTATGTTTACCTTATTGTGACTAGGCTACCTTTAATCAGCTTTTAGAAATAAGTTTAACAGATCAATCCATGCATTTCTTATGCACATTTGATTTACTTATGTCCATAGAATAGAACTGTAGAGTTGGAAGGGACCCTGATCATCTAGTCCAACCCCCTGCAATACAGGAATCTCAGCTAAAGCATCCATGACAGATGGCCGTCCAACCACTGCTTAAGAACCTCCAATGGAGGACAGTTCCGTGTTCTTTTCTGGACCAAGCTTGTCTTGATTATTTGGTTTTGTGTGGGGTTCTTTCTTAAGATTCTTAGAATGGTCTTTTCTCCCTACTGCCTGCATAATTTCTTTCTGCATTCCACCATGCTACCTGAACTGTCCCAACTGGCCGTTATAAGAACTGCACTTTAACAACTAGTGCCTGAGTTTGGTTGTTTTCCTCTACCCTCCTCATCCCTTTCCCCTTTTGTGTCGTGTCTTTTAGACTGTAAGCATAGGGGGCAGGAACTGTCTTGTTTTTTTACTGTTCTGTAAGCCACACTAGGACCTTTTTTGTGAGGGGGCTGAAGTATGGGATTAAAAAAAAAATGCTTTAAATAAATTGTTACTTGGAGCTCTAGTCTGACAGTATTTATCTCCCTCTTTCCCCTCTGCTCTCCGCCCTTGTTAGCCCGAGAACCTGCTCTATTACAGTCTAGATGAAGATTCCAAGATCATGATTAGCGACTTTGGGCTGTCGAAGATAGAAGGATCAGGAAGCGTCATGTCTACGGCATGTGGGACTCCAGGTTATGTGGGTGAGCTGCAGAGGTTTCTTATTCCGCCCCCTGCCCCCCAGTTGAGAAGAGTGGATCTGGCTGACAAAGACAATCACTGCATGCCATGAGGGGGGTTTTTATGAGGAGGTGGGGCTACAGTTTGCCTCCAGCTTTCCAGACAGGAGGGACGTATTAAGTGCCTTTCTAAATATGGATAGCACTCCAGTGTAGGAAAAAGCATGTAAATCCAGTGTACAGTGGTACCTCAGGTTACATACGCTTCAGGTTACATATGCTTCAGGTTACAGACTCTGCTAACCCAGAAATAGTGCTTCAGGTTAAGAACTTTGCTTCAGGATGAGAACAGAAATCGGGCTCCGGCGGCGTGGTAGCAGCAGGAGGCCCCATTAACTAAAGTGGTGCTTCAGGTTAAGAACAGTTTCAGGTTAAGTACGGACCTCCAGAACAAATTAAGTACTTAACCTGAGGTACCACTGTACATTGTAAGAGGGGCACCATTCATGTGTTTCGCCATGTGAAATTATGATTGGCCACAACCTCCCAACATGTGCTCAATGTACGTATTTTTAAATGTATTTTGGGTCTTTTGTTGGAAGCCACCCAGAGTGGCTGGGGAAACCCAGCCAGATGGGTGGGGTATAAATAAATTATTATTATTATTATTATTATTATTATTATTATTATTATTATTATTATTATTGATCTACTGTACAGTATGGACTGCTTACGTTAATGTACAGTAAATGTTTAAATTACTATTGCTGGAGTGTTTTCATATGTCAGAGGGAGATATTTCTATCTTTCCCCTCTCCTGTTATAGTTGCAAATTCAGATTAGATAGATAGATGTTTAAAATAAATGCATGAGGATCTACTCTTGGATTTCATGCTTTGTTTCCGGCACAGGGGTACTAAAACTGAAATATCTAAAACAGTCCTTTCGCTGGGACTTTACAGGACAGGGGATTCCCTTTCATAGGCAGAATGGCAGCCTGGGGTGGGATGAAATAAGTTTCATTCAACTTTGCGGGAGATGAAACATACTCAACCTGCCACTGGCCCTATCATCTTTTGTTGAGGGAGTGGCTGTCAATGAGTGACATTTGCAGTGCTGTTTTTCTGGGGTGGGATGCAGGGGTACTCATACCCATAAACATTTTGTGAATCTTTGTACTTTTGTCTATTTGCTGTATTTATTTTCCCCCAATTTGAACTACAAAATGGTGATTTTTCTTGAGTCAAAATGAGAGTACCCCTAAACATTTTTTTTAAGAAAAAAAGTACTGGACATTTGTATCTGTTAAGCATTATAGAGCCATGTTTCTTGTAGCAGAATAATATCAAATTGCTCAAAAATACAGTGGTACCTCGCAAGACGAATGCCTCGCAAGACAAAAAACCCGCTAGATGAAAGGGTTTTTTGTTTTTTGAGCTGCTTTGCAAGACGATTTTCCCTATGGGCTTGCTTCACAAGACGGAAACGTCTTGCAAGTTTGTTTCCTTTTTCTTAACACCGTTAATACAGTTGCGACTTGACTTCGAGGAGCAACTCATAGAACGCAGTGTGGTAGCCTTTTTTGAGGTTTTTAAAGACTTTGGTGATTTTTGAAGCTTTTCCAAAGCTTTCCCAACACCGTGCTTCGCAAGACGAAAAAAATCGCAAGACGACAAAACTCGCAGAACGAATTAATTTCGTCTTGCGAGGCACCACTGTAGCTATTTATTATTCTGCTTTGAACGCCATCCTTCTTTGTTCCATGGCATCAGTTTTAGCCCCAGTTCCTTTCAGGCTCTGTGCTTGTCATTTCCACTTTGTCCAGGTACCCAATTTCGTCTAAAAAAAAGCTTCCATTCCTCTTACCAGTGGGAACCCATTCAACGGTGTTAGCCTATTTTTTGATTCTTGGGAGAAGACCACCTATTTCATTTGAAGCTAATTTCTGATAGCTCAGCCAGGAATTCATAATCATCCCATCAGGATTGTCCCTCACCATATCATATTCCAAGGGTTGAGTTTGCAGCTCTGCATCTATACACTTAAAACTTCCTCTGGTAGCCCTCTTTTTAACTATACATTTTGGAGAAACCAGCTTGTGGGTGAAAGGCTCGATTGTCAATTGTTTCACCAATGTTTTGTTGTCCACGTTGTTGTATTTTGGGTCAACCTGGACTGTAACTTAGCTACTCAAAGGTCTAGAAACAATGCCTTATGAGGAACGGCTAAGGGAGCTGGGCATGTTTAGCCTGGAGAAGAGGAGGTTAAGGGGTGATATGATAGCCATGTTCAAGTATATAAAAGGATGTCATATAGAGGAGGGAGGAAAGGTTGTTTTCTGCTGCTCCAGAGAAGCGGACACAGAGCAATGGATCCAAACTACAAGAAAGAAGATTCCACCTAAACATTAGGAAGAACTTCCTGACAGTAAGAGCTGTTCGACAGTGGAATTTGCTGCCAAGGAGTGTGGTGGAGTCTCCTTCTTTGGAGGTCTTTAAGCAGAGGCTTGACAACCATATGTCAGGAGTGCTCTGATGGTGTTTCCTGCTTGGCAGGGGGTTGGACTCCATGGCCCTTGTGGTCTATTCCAACTATGATTCTATGATTCTACTTTGGTGAGAATGTTACTTAGGGATGAAATAAGTTTGGAGGAGACTTACAAGTCGGGGTTGTGAAAGGGGGGAATCTTTACAAGGCAGAGATGGCTGGCATGGCATGTGTGTGTGTTTGTGTGTGTGTTTGTGCGTAGAAATTCCTGGGAGAGCACACCTTTAGAAGGAGATCCCTAGTACAAGGGTTGCATCTCCCCATCTGTCCCCAAACGACATTTGGGCAACAGGGAATTTCCATCTCTAATGGTCTCTTTCTTCCTCTTTCCCCCTTGGGTCTGGTCCAGCTCCTGAAGTGTTGGCACAGAAGCCTTACAGCAAAGCGGTGGATTGCTGGTCCATTGGAGTCATCGCTTACATCTTGTACGTACTGAGTTGAATTGAGATGGCGGTGGGTCTGGAGCCAGATGCCCTGCCTCCTATCGCTCCTGAATTCACATATGCAAAGGGAGTCCTATTCAGCTAAACACTGGACACTCCCTTCCACTCTTCTCCTTCCACGGTGCTTCTGGCACCACACAGCTACTTTTGCCCGTTCATTTATGGGCCTTTCATTTCTCCTTTACGGACAGCTTGAAGTTTCATAATATTGTCCCCCACCAAGGCCCACAACTCAACCACCTGAGCCACCTTTAACCCTTTACCGCCCACAGAGGTGGTACATCCTCTCTTGGGGATTATTACTGTATTTATCAGTGTATAACACACCCCCATTTATTTTGGGGGACTCGAAATTTAGAAAATGGGGGGGTGATTGTCCAGAGTTGCTGAGCTTTTGATAGGGGGAATGCCCAGCATTTTGGAGCTTTTTTTGAGGGGGGGAGAATGCCAAAAATTGCTCGCCAGACTGTCCAACGCTGCAACACGCACACGTCGCATAACCCAACAATCGCCTGCCCGATCGCTGCAAGCAGCTGCCATTTGCCCGCCCAATTGCCACAACAGCAGCCAATCAACGGCAGCCCTTGCCGCACCCACCAATCACCCGCAGAATCACCACTCACAATCTCCTACTTGCAGAAGCAACAAATCCCCCGGTTGGAAATGGGCTGGAATGGACTTATGGGTAAAGACACATGCAAATGACATGAAACCAAACTGGTTTGCCCATCGCTACTGTGTAAGAAGATTGGTCAGTGAGTGGCTTAGGAGGCGCATCAAGCAAGCAGGCTCGCTTGGTGCCTCGGTGTCTCCAGGAGAGGGCAGGCCGCCACCCCCCAAATGAAACAGCTCCGCCTCTCTCTTTCGGCAACTATTATTTATTTATTAAATTTCTATTCCGCCCTTCCCTTCATCCGAAGATCACAGGGTGGTGGACAATAGAAAAGCACCAAAAAAGAGAGATGCCATCGTAAAACAAACAAAAACGGTGCAACTGCCGTTATCAGGGCCAGGCAAAGACATTTTGGCACCTGAGGCGGACCCAGAAATGGCGCCCCCTCTCTCCGCCAGGGAAACAAGGGGTCAGGGGAGATCAACTTCAGGAAAATAGAGGGGAAGAAAAGATCAACTTTGGGCTCTGCAGCCCAGGTGAATCTTGCCACCTGAGGTGGTTGTCTCACCTTGCCTCATAGGTGGGCCGGCCCTGACAATGATTCTACCCCTCTAATCCCCTGGTCAGGAAGTAACCTTCTGTCTTTTTTCTTCCTCTCTCCCCTCGCTTTCCAGTCCATTTACCTCAGTTCCCCACATTCTTTTGCTCCTTCACAGCCTATACATTTATTTCCAACTCTCCCCGTTGTATATTGCCATGCCTTCTGAGTGTCACACATGCCCTGTCCCCACTTTCTCCCCTCAGACTGTGCGGCTATCCCCCCTTCTACGATGAGAATGACACAAAGCTCTTTGAGCAGATCCTGAAGGCAGAATATGAATTTGACTCCCCCTACTGGGACGACATATCAGAATCAGGTGAGGGAAGGAAATGGTGGCTTCCCTGAATGCCAGTGCTAGAACCAAGGCACATATTATGTATATTTGTTGTTTTTTTTAAACTGCTGATTTGATAAAAATTATTGCTTGTTTTTTAATCAGTATTTTCTTGCAGGTATTTTAGATCGCTTTATCTAAACAGCTTAGTGGGCTTTTAAGAAAATAAATCAATTGGTAGATAACTCTCATTAATTAAAAATAATAATAAATGGAATCAAATGGATCTGTGCTGTGGGAAGAGGCCAATGGCACCACTCACTGGCTAACTCAGGCCTTCATTCACTTCCTTTCTCCTCTCAGCCAAAGATTTCATCCAGCATTTAATGGAGAGGGACCCTAAGAAACGCTTCACCTGTGAGCAGGCACTACAACACCCGTGGTAAGGAGGAATCTGCACCCCATCATGCATTTAGCTGCTTTGAGAGCAAGTTGGGGGGTCTCTTGGCTCCTGTCGTCACAAGTTGTAAAAAGGCAAGTAAGGGGAAACCACCGGCCTTAGAAAGGAGCAGCTGCCAGGAAGGTTTTTTCCTTCCTCCTCCCTGTCCGAAAGATCATAAGCTCTAGCTGTCCTGGTGCCTCTGGGAATTTGCGGAAGCAAAGAAGACACGTTGCTACCAGTCATTGTCCCAAGGAACAAGGGATGCCAAACCTTGCTATTTGGAGCAGTGAAAGACACAGCAAGAAAGGGGACGGGAGTGGCCTGTGGTAAAACATCGGCACTGAGCCTAGGACTGCCCCAATCAGAAGGTCAAGCGGTTGAATCCCCCGCCGACGGGGTGGAGCTCTGCCGTTGCTTGGTCCCTGCTCCTGCCAACCCTACCAGTTTGAAAGCCATCAAAGTGCAAGTAGATAAATAGGTACCCGTACGCTCGGCGGAAAGGTAAACGGCAATTTTCCTGTGGCGCTGTCGAGTCGTGGTTTGCGCAGAAAGCGGCTTAGTCATGCTGGCCACATGACCCGGAAGCTGTACGCCAGCTCCCTCGGCCAGTAAAGCGAGATGAGTGCTGCAACCCCAGAGTCAGTCATGACTGGACCTAATGGTCAGGGGTCCCTTTACTTTACTTTTTACCAGCCAAGAAGATGAGCCTGGTCTGAACTGGATGTAAATGCACTTTTATAGATCACCATTTTATTCCGGCGTTGGAGAACCGATCTCTCCCCTCTGCCTTTTCCCTCCACTCGCCTTTCCTTGTGTGTCATTTCTTTTAAGTTTGCAAGCCTGATGGTAGGACTTCTCTCCCTCCCTCCTAAATGATGGGAGATGATAATTGTCTAAGAAAAGTGGCATTAAAAATATATATATAATGGAAGAAAGTGGGAATACAATCAATGCTGTGATCTTGCACCCACTTGAGAGTAAGCCTCTCATTGTACAGTGGTACCTTGGTTTAAGAACAGCTTAGTTTATGAACAACTTGGATTAAGAATGCTGCAAACCCGGAAGGTGTTTTGGTTTGTGAACTTTGCCTTGGAATAAGAACATGTTCCGCTTCCTGTTGAGTGCGTTCCATTTGTAAAATGAGTCCCCCGCTGCTATGGGAAAACAGGCCTTGGTTTAAGAACACTTTGGTTTAAGAACGGACTTCCGGAATGGATTAAGTTCGTAAACGAAAGTACCACTGTACTCCCATCGTACCTGATGAGAGTTGTAGCCCCAAATATCTGGATGGCATTGGTTTGGAGAAGGCTGGCCTACAGGATTTCAAAGTTGGCACCAGGTGAACTGATCGGAACAGGAATTCCCTTAGGTCCTGTTCTTATTAGCAGTTTGCATCGCTTGGAATGGTGGAGGCATCTATTGGTATTTCAATGCCTTGTATAGATGTTGATCTTGGGATCCTGGTGGGTTGACATGGTGAAAGGTGGTCCTTTTTAAGTATAGGGGTCCCGGACCGTAGAAGGCTTTAAAGGCCAAAGGCACTCCTATGGGGCTTGTTAATAAGAACCAATCTGCTCTTCCTTCCAGGATTGCTGGAGACACCGCACTAGATAAGAACATCCACCAGTCAGTCAGCGAGCAGATCAAAAAGAATTTTGCCAAGAGCAAGTGGAAGGTAAGGGCACGTCCTGCAGAGAAGCAGTCGGTGGGTGCTTTTACCCATGAGCCTTCAATCTGTCCCTGCTCAAATCCGACTGCAATGTGAATGCAAAGCCTTTGCCCGCCAGAATATATGTTTGCTCTTTGCCTTAGGATAACCTTTACCAATGATATTCACTTGTGGCATGTGAGAGTCTCTTGAATATTTTTAGTATTTAATATACAGTTGTATAAGGGACGCGGGTGGCGCTGTGGGTTAAAGCCTCAGCGCCTAGGACTTGCCGATCAAAATAGAATAGATATTTGCAGTGTCGAGTTTCCTTGGTGCCAACAGCTAGGGAAAAGAAGAAAGGCTTTCATTTTCTGTTTGTCTCATTTGCCACACAGGCTGCATACAAACCATACATTTAAAGACATGACTCCCCCCCCACCCAATAATTCTGGGAAGTGCAGTTTAACCCCACACAGAGCTACAAATCCCAGCCGCCATAAACTACAGTTCCCAGGATTCTTTGGGGGAAATAATGTGCTTTAAGGGAATGGGGTATACAGCGACAGCATCTCCCCCATCTTTGACAGCAATCTGCTTTTCTTTTTTTTCTTTCTTTTTTGTCCTACACAGCAAGCCTTCAACGCAACTGCTGTGGTCAGGCATATGAGGAAGCTACAGCTTGGGACCAGCCAAGATGGACCTGGTCAAGCCATGCAGGAGAGCAATGGTGAGAGGCTGGGAATGGCCTTTGGTGCCACAGGGTATTCCCCTCCGTGTACTGTGGTGACACCAGTATAGAGCCGAAACAGATTTTCTCCTCAAGACCTTCGTCGGTGAATCTTGATATTCACTAATGGCCGGTGGTTAATATTTGTGTCTGGTATCTGCCAAGGTTTGATCTTACTATTTGATCCCCACCCCCCCCTTGGATACACTGACAAATCCTAGGCATTTGAATTCTGAGGTAAAATTTCCCCTCAGTGTTGACATTCTGCATTTGGAACTTGGCTAAATTGAAAGGAGTGAGTGATGTCAAGTTAAATACACACGAAAGCTTGTATCCCTTTGACCCCAATCCCATCCCCGCCTTCCTGTTAACAAACACACTTTCTCCAGAGCTGGAGGATTTCCTCTCCTCTTTTCCCATTTATTATTTGGGACAGAATGGCAGTAAATTGGTATAAATGGTTGTAAGGGCTAGCAGTTTCAAAGGCGCATGACCTGTATTCAGGCATATGCTGTTCTGTGGCCTCACGAACTGGCTGTGCATCAATAGCTTCCCTCACAGTTGCTTCTCTGTGATACCCTCACACTTGACTTAATGTTCCCTCCCTCACCCTTTGTAAGGTTTTATTCCAGTGTTGGGGATCCTTTGGACACCCTTTGGACGTTTTTCCGGACTACAACTCCCATCATCCCTAGCTACTGGCCGGGGCTGATGGAAGTTGCAGTCCAGCCCCTGAAAGGCCACAAGTTCCCTGTCCTTGTGACTCCCACTGTCTTTTCCCGCCATTTATAGCTTCTGCCATCTAGTGATGGCAATGTCAGAAAACGGGATAAGGCAACTCCCATTTCCTTCCTAGTGCCCCTGAAAACTCACTCCTGTTTGCTTTGTCCAGGGAGCCACTGCCTGGCCTTTCCTGAGCTAGAAAATAAGGAAAATGTTTTGTTGCTCCACCAATTACTGTTGTCCGAAATTCAGCAAATTTAGTATTTGTCTGGGAAGGATGGGTGGGCTTGTGGAGAAAGAATGGGGGGATTTGGGAGTAGGATGTGGGTGAAGAAGGACGTTACAGCTTGTTTTGAAACTAAACTGTATTTTCCCCTGTGTGCGCGCGCTTTATATCAAAATTAAACACGTTAACTGCTTTCCACATTTCTTTTTATTTTAAAAAAGTTTACATGCTTTGAACACAATATGCACACACTTAAATTGGGTATATTGATTAACCTTTGGGGGCAGTTCCCCCTCCCTTGCTTCACCTTGCAGTTTGGCCAGAGTCAATGAGACGCCATTTGGGTGGCATGGCAATAGCAACTTAGGCATGGTCTGTTAGGGATTCCCTTTACGACTGCTGAAAAATGAGGTTTTGCTCACAGCTGGGAGATTCCCTGTAAACACAAAAGTATTAAGGTGCTATATATAACCTAGTGCAAAAGACCATCATTTTTAGTATGCTGACCAGAAGACAGTGGCTAGGCAGCTTTGCCTCGCTGACTTTGTGCTGTGTTTGTTGTGTTGTGTTGGTTGTGTTGTGCTTGTAGTCCCAGTTAACCCAGTCCTGACAGTCCCCTTTCTCTTTGGCAGGCTCAGCGTCCAGTAGCAGCGAGGAATCCTTGGGGAATGGTTCTCACCGTCAGATGCGGGACTGAACGTTCCCCAGTGGACAGAGGACACAGATGGCGGTGCCAGGATCAACCCACTATGGGGCGGGTGGCCAAAGCCCCACTCTGCTGTGCTACCACAAGTGGAGCCAGGGAAGGGTTTGGGACTGCCCCACACCCCTCCCAATTAAGTGTGGCTGAGCCCCACCGCAGGGAAAGCTTCCCTTGCTAAGCCACACCCTCCTGAACCTGGACATGGGGCCTGATCCTTCATAAGCCACACACTTCCCTGGAGATGCTTCTTCTTCTTCTTCTTCTTTTTCTTCTTCTCTCTCTAACACAGAGCAGCCAAATGCTGGCCGCAGCCAGCCAGCTCTGTCTGTGCCCTATGCTGACCCCCTACCCGAGCTGACAATGTCGTCCTCCTCCTTGCCCAATTGTGTGGTGTTGTCTAGGAAAGACCACACAGTGGCCTGCTCAGGCCCTTTGAAGCAGCTGTGGAGCTTGAGGATGCCTCACCCCCCCCCATAAAAAACCCTAACCAAGTCCCCCACTCAGATCATATCACCTCCAGCCAACAAGCAGGTTCACAAAGAGCGAGCCTAACTCTAGATCACCCTAATCATGTCACGAAGGAAAACAAAAGCTGCTTGTGGACCCTTCACAATTTGATTTCCCAATAAGTGCATTTCCGCTGTCGAGAAACGTGAAGCTAGATTGAAAGGCTGTTTCAATCTTCTGGTGTCATTTGGCTGTCTGTGGGCGAGGACACGTTATTTTTTAAGAGTGGTGGTTTGATAGAACCACAGCTACCCTTGACACAGATGTACGTTTTAAATATATATATATATATATATATATATATATATACACCCAAGCATAGGTGGGAGAGAAACAGTTTAGCTGACTTTCCGTATGGTTCCAGTTGAACTATGGGGAAAAGGGAACTGTGTTTGGGTACCTTGTCAGTTCCTGCCCATGGCCCATACCATACCATCGGCCTCCAGAGAAATCCTGCAGCTGTTTTTAAAATGCTTTGTGTTTTGTATTTTTCTTTTTGCGGGGGGCCAGGGAAGAAGGAGCGCACTTGCAGAGATATGTGTATGCCTCTGTTTTCGAAAACAGCGTTGGAGTAGAAGGGGGAAGGCAAGATTGAGTGGTTGTTGAAACATCGTTTCGGCACGGGAAGCAACTCGCCGATGCAGGATTCGGCTTGTTGGGCCGATGTGTTTGCAACGCCAGTTGCCAAAAAGGGAAGTTCACACCATAGACGACGCTCCCACTGAGGCAGCCCTTGAAGCGCTGGGTCTGTCTTCATCCAAGCTGGCCTTTGCACCCCCCAACTGGCAGAACCAGGATTCTTTCCACTGTGTATAGAGTCCAGCCTTCCCCATCCTGGTGCCTTCCAGATGTTTTGGACGACAACTCCCATCCAGCACAGCCAATGTCTAGGGGGTCATGGGAGTTCTGTAGTCAGCGTTCTCCAACAATGTTTGGAGAAGCACCAGGTTGGAGAAGACTGGCTTGGTCCCCTTCCCCTCTCGCTCTCCTGCCTGCTCTTGACGCTCGCAGCTCCACATTTTGCGCCCATGTTCTCTCTGTCTCTGCACTCTCTTGGTTCAAGAGGACTTTCTAACTCGAAGTTTCTATTTTGTTGCTTGTTCTTGTATTAAAAAGGAAGAAAGCGCACATGTCTTCATCTACCCTATCTGCGGGCAAAGGGGTGGGGGAAAAGAAGGGAGCTGCCGCTGGTGCCCCCTCACCCAGCAACCAACCGAGGGAGGGCACTGCACACACCCAGCAATGTCTAGATCTGTTTCTGAAAGTGAAAGAAGGCTAGGAGAGTTTTAGGAGGACACAACTTGTTTATTGTTATCGTTACAGCACCTCGAAGTCAGCTAAGCACTTTATAAAAGGGTAGAAATAAATAGGTCTCTGCCCAAAGCAGCTTACAATCTAGAAATAGTCAAGACGAAAAAGGCAGGGGTTGGTATAGGGAACGGTAGGTCAAATTGCTGGATGATTAAAAAAAACAAAAACACAGGCCCGTGAGCCAGCTTTTCAAATCCTATGGATTTTGATGGGGAAGAAACAAGCACGCTTAAGTCTCTCCCAGTGAAATCAGCGGGATTTTAAAGGGCTTAGCTCTGACCATAGAGCATTCTCACGGTACAGGTTACAAAATATAATTTTAAACTCCACTATAGAAATGGAGGATGTTTTACCAAAACAAACAAACAAAAAAATTGAGGGAAAAGGACACTTAAGAAAGAAAGACAAAGATGTTAAAAAAGATAACATATTGAGCTGCAGTGAATGTATTCAGGAACAACATTCCATATTAGTGGAAGGAAGAGAAAAGGGATAATAATATTTAATACAACAAGAGGTTTTAGGTTCGAGCAGAAAAAAAATGAGGTGAATTAAAAGCCCAGACTAGAATAAAGGAAGAAAACTCAATTTGGGCCTGTTAAATAAACAAGACAAACGTTCCTTCAGCTGGAGACTATGTTGATGCAAAAGCCAGAGGGGTGAATGTGTTGGTAGATGTTTATGGATGCATATAGATTGGGAGGGGGAAGACGGCCTGCTTTTCAAGGCCAGAAGGTACTTCTTCAGTGGTTGGAATGGGGAATATAATATGAAGCCAGAAGGGAGGCAAGAGGGGAGCTTCTTGGGCTGGGCTTCAGCCCAAATGGCAGCCATTTTTAGTGTCTGGAATACCAGCAAACAACCTGGTGTTCTCCGCTATCCCCACCTTGACAGCGGGTGTCTAGTCCTCTCCCTAGAAAGCTGATCACCAGCAAAGCACAATAACCCCAGTTCAACTAAAACCGGTCCCGATGAGCCACACAATTGTATGCCTCTACTCAGAAGTAAATCCCATTGGGTTCAGTGGGGCTTACTCCTGGGTAAGCATGCCTGCAATTTCAGCCTTGGTCCCTCTGAAAGCAAGGGGACTTGAGTTCATTACAAACTTGTTCCTCAGGCCCAGCAGAGTGAAAGTGTATTTTGCTGCACAAGCTGATGTCCGGCAAACAGTGGGAATTCCTTAATCCAACCAGCGGCGAGGGTTTTGCCGTCGCAGGGCACATGCACAAAGACACCGTTGTATGTATGTATATACAAACATGTACATTTACAAGTTACGTACAAAATGAGAGCGCCGTGGAGTTAAAAGCGTGATCTCTGCTCCCTTGCGCGCGCATACACACGACTTAAAATCTTCTCATTTCAAAGGACACTCTAGCCTAACTTTTAAACCACACCTAGATTAAAGTTTAATAGGACCCACCGAAATTGCTAAGCATGGTGGGATCTGGGAAAACCGCCACCAGCTAACTCCCCACCCAATGTCAACAAGATCACAGATATCGATGAGACTCCAGCCCTCAGCAGGTGGCCTTCAAGTCTACCTGTCACACATCCATTATGTGTAGAAATACTTTTTGAAGTGAGGTAACTCCTAGGTCTAGGTCTATAGAACCAAGACCCTGGTTCTGATAAGGAGGGCCTCTGAATTGGCCTGAACTGAGAAACTGGCCTACGCCACACTTAATACTGTACCCCAAAGCCAAAGCAAATGACCAAAGCCACAGGAACAAAACAAAACAAAAAAGGAGGATTCTATTCTATAATACATTGCGGTTACACATCAAGCTTACAGCCACCACAGGAGACCCCTGGTGGAAAAAGACAACAGCAGTTTAACTAAGAGGAGAGCTCCACAGCACACCTGCCTGCCTCTCTCTCTGGCAGCCCCTGTTCTCGGTGTGGATGTTCCTGTGCCTCTCCAGACCTGTAGAGGAAATGGTTTTTCTTACTTGCCCAAGCCAGGCACACAAAACAGGAGGCTGTGGGAGAGGTTATGACGTCAAGGTGGGAAGGGTGCTCCTGGCAACTTTGACACAGCGGTGCTTGGCATCCGGATCGGAAGATTCCTGGTACTTTCGTAGATCGGCGCAAAAAAGGACCTGGTGAAGGAGGGCAGAGAGTCAGAATTGGGGGGGACACACAAATGTTTACGAAAGGTGGTTTGGAAATAGGCCCCCTAGTGAGGAGGAAGCAGGTTTCTGTGTGAGCCAGGTAAGAGTTTTGCCAGCTGTGTCAGAAGAAGCAAATGTCAACTACCCGTATTTTTCACTCTATAAGACGCACCAGACCACAAGACGCACCTAGTTTTTGGAGGAAGAAAACAAGGGGGGGGGGATTCTGAATCTCAGAAGCCAGAACAGCAAGAGGGATCGCTGTGCAGTGAAAGCAGCAATCCCTCTTGCTGTTCTGGCTTCTGGGATAGCTGCGCAGCCTGCATTCGCTCCATAAGACGCACACACATTTCCCCTTACTTTTTAGGAGGGAAAAAGTGCGTCTTATAGAGCAAAAAATATGGTGTACACAAATTGGCAATTTTACACTGAGGCCAAGACAAAACAAAAACAGGTCTAGAGGCAAAAAGGCGGTATGCACAAATGCACCATTCAGACCAGTTTAAAACAGGGCAGGTAAGCATACCTTAGATTAGCATCTGCTGGGCTGTGTATTATTTTGTCTGTATATACAGACTGAAGGAAGAAACCTCTTCACGCAACATGTTGATTAATTTGGAGAACATACTGCCACAAAACCGAGGGATGGCCACCTGAGTCAGAAGGCTTGAAAAGGGAAACGGGTAATTTGGGAAGGTGGGTCTATTGTTCCTTCTAATGGCCAATTCAAGCAAGGTGTTCTGATTGCTAGGGATGGCAAACCGTTCCACTCGGAAACAATAGGGAGGTCCACTGCAGTCTCCAGGGAATCTTTGGACTTGCAGTGGCACACAGGAAAAAGAGACGGCCACCACATCTCTCCTGGCAGGAAAAGCAGGCTGTGCACAAATGGATAAAAGGGGAAAGACAACTTGGAGGAGGTGGGGAAAGAGAGGAATAGAGGAGGCAGAGAAGAGCTGGGAAGAAGGTGACATGCGGGGAGAGGGAGCTGGAACAGCAAAAACATAGGACAAAAACTTGCTGGTCCCAGTTGTCAATGGCTGTTCTCCATGTTGGCTAATGTTCAGAGGAAGTATTCCACAAAAATACCAACAACTGTGGAGCAGTGGCGGAGCTTCATGCTCTGGCATGGGGGGCGGGGGGAGGAGAGCAGGAAGGGAAGGGGCTGGCGCGCATCCCAGGGGTGTGGCACGCCACCTGCGGGGGCACGGCACCCAGTGTGGGTGGGGGGGCAGCCGCGATGGCACCCCACCGGGATCGCGCTGCCGGGGGCGGTGTGCTCCCCCCGCACCCCTCTTCCTCTGCCAGTGCTGGGGAGGAGTGGGGAGAGCTACCGCCTCCAAGCCCTGCTTGCAAGCTTCCTGGGAGCACCTGGTTGGCCATTACAGGAAGGAAGATGCTAAACCAGGTGGACTTTGGGTCTGGTCCAGCTGGTCTCTTCTTATGTTTTAACATAGCCCAAAACAGGGGTCCCCAAACTAAGGCCCGAGGGACTCCTTTATCCGGCCTGCGGCAATCCCCGCCGCCCGCTCTTACCGGCACTGCACGGCTGCCCACTTCAGGGTCGGAGGAGCACCGGAAATAGCTTGTGCTCATGCGCAAGTGTTATTTGCATATGCACAAGCGTTATTTCTGGTGCACATCCGGGTCGGAGGAGGCCCATTCACATGTGCACAGGCTATTTTTGGTGCTCCTCCGACCCAGAAATGCGCCGGAAATAGCATATGCACATGCGTATGGGCACGCGCTCCCCCACCCTCCGGCCTGCCGTGTGATCAGCACTGGAGACACCGGCCCGAGGCGCGGTAAGTTTGCTGACCCTGGCCTAGATGAAGTAAATATTCCCCTACAAGTGGCTGTGGCGAGAAAAGCTGGATCAGATTTACTTAACTGTTTCTGCTTCTGAGATAATCCCCAGACATTGACCATTCTCTCTGATGTCCTTAAAAAAAAATCAATGAAAGCTAAGAAGCTTACAATTCTGAACTACTTTACCCTCAAGCCGATTCCTGCAGTTGGATGATCTAGCTGTTCTTGTGTGTTCCCTTCTCTTGTGTGTTCCCAAAGCCGCAGAAGAAAAAGAAGAGGATTTTCCACTCATTTACTCACCGCTTGTGCCCATCCAGCATATGGTCCCCACAGGCTCCGGAAGAAGTTCCCTGAAGGCAGAGCAGTCAAGAGGGCAGCCTTAGTGAGTTGGAAGGCAACAAGCTGCCTTGACAAGTGAGTGGATTAACACAACCAATTCTTCAAAGGAAGCTCCCTTATACCAAGCAAGACCCATTGGATGGATGGCGGCTAATGGATTGAGGTTGAATCCTGACAAGAAAGAAGTACTGCTTTGGGGGGACAGGGTGTGGGCAGGTATGCAGGACTCCCTGGTCCTGAATGGGGTAACTGTGCCCCTGAAGGACCAGGTGCGCAGCCTGGGAGTCATTTTGGACTCACAGCTGTCCAGGGAGGCACAGGGTAATTCTGTGTCCAGGGCAGCTGTCTACCAACTCCACCTGGTACACAGGCTGAGACCCCACCTGCCCGCGGACTGTCTTGCCAGAGTGGTGCATGCTCTGGTTATCTCTCGCTTGGACTACTGCAATGCGCTCTATGTGGGGCCAGCTTTGAAGGTGACTTGGAAACTGCAATTAATCCAGAATGCAGCAGCTAGACTGGTGACTGGGAGCGGATGCTGAGACCATATAACACCGGTCCTGAGAGATCTGCATTGGCTCCCAGTACGTTTCCAAGCACAATTCAAAGTGTTGGTGTTGACCCTAAATGGCTTTGGCCTAGTATACCTGAAGGAGCGTCTCCACCCCCCATCGTTCTGCCCGGACACTGAGGTCCAGCGCCGAGGGCCTTCTGGCGGTTCCATCACTGTGAGAAGCAAAGCTACTGGGAACCAGTTAGAGGGCCTTCTTGGTAGTGGCATCCGCCCTGTGGAACGTCCTCCCATCAGATGTCAAAGAGATAAACAACTACCTGACATTTAGAAGACATCCTTTTTCAGGGAAGTTTTTAATGTGTGACATTTTAATGTATTTTTAATCTTTCTTGGAAGCCGCCCAGAGTGGCTGGGGAAACCCAGCCAGATGGGCAGGGTACAAATAATAAATTATTATTATCTAACTGTGTACTGTCTGCCCTGCCTCTCCAGGATTGGATAAAACATGGGACTTTCTGCACTCAAAGCAGGTGTTTTACCGCCAAAACATGGTGATATCTCTTCCTTGGCTCGCATTGGCCAGAATGCTTCCTATCTACACGGATGTTTCCACCCCCATTCTGGAGATTAGAGCCCTAATCTCTCTATATTTAGGAGAGGAGTTCCCTGACAAACCATAGTGAGCACTTGCAGCAATTGGCAATGATTGGTTCCAACTTGTTCCATAACTGAAAGGGCTCTGCTGCCCCCTGCTTTTTGCGAGGAGGGCGAGAGTGAGTTTGAGAAGTTGCAACTGAGCAGCCACAGTTGAGTGGCATCTCAGCAAACCATTAACCCCTCTATTTGATGGAGCCTCTGCAAGCCTCTGGGCCTCGAGCAAGCGAATTGTGTATTTTCTGCCGCTTTTCTGAAGCAGTGGGCATTGCTGCCCACTTTGTCATCGTCACCTTGTTTTAAAGTTATGCCGGCAGTATACAGCAGCAAGCAGTGAGACCTAAAGGTAAAGGTAAAGGAGCCCTGGACAGTTAAGTCCAGTCAAAGGAGACTATGGGGTTGTGGCGCTCATCTCGCTTTTCAGGCCAAGGGAGCTGGCATTTGTCCACAGACAGTTTTCCGGGTCATGTGGCCAGCAGGACTAAACCGCTTCTGGCGCAATGAGACACCGTGACGGAAGCCAGAGCGCACGGAAACTCCGTTTACCTTCCCGCCGCAGCGGTACCTGCTTATCTACTTGCACTGGTGTGCTTTTGAACTGCTAGGTTGGCAGGAGCTGGGACAGAGCAACGGGAGCTCATCCCGTCGCGGGGATTCGAACCACCGACCTTCCGATCAGCAAGCCCAAGAGGCTCAGTGGCTTAGACCACAGCGCCACCCGCTGTGGCAAGGGTCCCAATGTGGAATGCAAGTCTGAGGTTGCATTCTGAACCGAAACCCAGGAAGGGTTCACAAGAGGCAGGCAGCTGACCCCACTGGCCCTCACCGATCTCTCGGTGCACCCGCTCGGTCACACTGCGGGCCCCCATGCCGAGCTCCTGGCCGTAGTAGCGCTTGGCAACCTGCCATATATGGGTGTCCACCGGCACGGCCTCCGTCTTGTCCAGAGACATGAGACACACGCAGTCGGCCACCTGCAAAGGGAAGCGAAGAAAATTGCACCATGATAGCGGCCCTTGTTTGCCACTGCTGGAGGACACACAGCTACAAACAGGCAGCTGTGTGTCAGAGTTCAAACAGTCCCCTGCCCTACCACACTAAAGCCCTTGTGCCATATTTATGTATTCATTCGTTCGCTCCCTTCAAAATGTTGTAAGCTGCCTTTTAGGATCAAACCCGCCCAAGGTGTTCCCCAGCGGATAAATTCACAACGTGTCATTCATAATAAATTGAAAACCACGTCACAACATTAGCACACAGCAAGAACCAGCAGTAATAGTGGGGTAGGAGAGCTTGAAAATAATGCCAATATATTTCACAGCTGGCAACCAATGCCAAAATATACCTCAGTACGACTCCCTCAAATATGGCCATAAAACCTTAATTCTCTTCCCCTTTAATCAGCGAAATGAGGCATCCTTAAGGACTATCATTTTAATACATCAGTACACGAATGAGAAGCAAATTTCAAATACATTAATATTCAACTCTGGGAGGCTTAGTTTGGTCAGAATCCAGTATATCTGAAGGAGCGTCTCTGAGGTCCTGTGCCATGGGCCTTCTGGTGGTTCCCTCACTGCGAGAAGTTACAGGGAACCAGGCAGAGGGCCTTCTCTGTAGTGGCACCCGCTCTGTGGAACGCCCTCCCACCAGATGTCAAAAAGAACAACAACTACCAGACTTTTAGAAGACATCTGAAGGCAGCCCTGTTTAGGGAAGCTGTCAGGGGTTCAGGGACAGAGGAACAGGTGAGGGAGGAGACGGAGAGCGAGGGGGAAGAATCCCAGGACAGCGAGGAAGAGGATGACAATGACTTGAGGGATTCCATGAGTCTTTCAAGTGAATCGGAGGATTCCCAGAAGGGGGCGCCTGTGGTCAGGCCAAGGGGAGCCACAGGGGGGACTCGTCAGGAGCAGGGGACCAGCAGGGGAACCCAAAGTGGGAGCTGGGAGTCGGGACCGGCTTCTCCGCCAGAGCGCAGTGAAGGGGGTGGACATTCCAGTGTGACAGGGGAAGCAGGTCCGAAAGCAGAGAGGGAGGGAAGATCGGAGCAAGACATCCTCCCGGAAAGGGAGGGGAGTAGTGCAGGGAGTAGTGTAACTGTCAAGAGGAAGGTTAGAGGTTGTGAACGCACGCCAAGTTCAAATGTGGAGGCGCGCGGAAGCACAGGGAGCCCGGAGGAGGAGCCAGGTCCCAAAGCACGCAGGAGGGGGGAAGAGCTGTCTGGGGATTCCGTGTCAGGGGAATCCAGGAGGGGCGAAACCCCAGGGGGCAGGAAGACCTTTTAATGTTTGATGCATTACTGTATTTTAATATTTTGTTGGAAGCCGCCCAGAGTGGCTGGGAAAGCCCAGCCAGATGGGAAGGTATGTATGTATGTATGTATGTATGTATGTATGTATAAACAAAGAAACAAACAAACACTTCCAGAATTAACGCTAAATACTGTACATTACTTCTGGTAAATGAGCCACCATAGCTTGCTAGAGGGCTGTGAAAAATTTGCATCCTGGGCTTTTTAGACTCGTCTACCCATGTATTATATGAAACCAAAGGGGAACATTGGTTGCCAGATGTGTGGCTCCCCTCCTCCACCAGTTCTCCTACCCTACTATAACACAACAACATTCGGAAAGAACAATAAAATAAAATACAACTATTGTTAAAATTATCAACACCATCTTCAAACTTGTAAGTTTCCAGTTGACTCCAATTGACTTACAACGCACTGAAAACATAAAAATACAATACGCCATAAAAGCAGAATGAAACAAACCCTGTAAAAGCCACGGGAACCTTTGGTAGCACGCTTAGTAGCTAAACAACATCATATTGCAGGGGAAACCCCAAGTCTTTACCTGGCACCCAAAAGATGTTAACGGAGGCGCTAGGTGGGCAATAACAACAGAGGGATAAGGTGCCTAATTTGTACTCACCTTGGCTCCCACTCCAGGCAGCGTACACAAGGCGTGTCGAGCCTGTTCATAAGGAACGGCTCTCAACTGCTGCAGGCCAGCAGCCCCACCAAGCGTCTTCAGAACAGCGCGGGCACTCTCGCTAACAAACCTCGCCCGATATCCGAAACCAAGGTCCCGCAGCCGGGCTTCTGTGTCTGCTCCTGCAACAGGACACCCAAAGAAGGATGGCAGCCTTTTGAGGAAACGCTACGGTCGTCTAGAGAAAGACGCATGTCCGGCAGCCATTATTATTTCCTAGAAGAAATGGCTAGCACAACATTGTTCAATTAACCAGTCCTCTAAAATAAAAGATGAGCACACAGCTTACAGGTCGGCTACAATGCCACTGTAACACCCACGCTCCACATCCCAAAAACCAATACAGTGGTACCTCGGGTTAAGTACTTAATTCGTTCCGGAGGTCCGTTCTTAACCTGAAACTGTTCTTAACCTGAAGCACCACTTTAGCTAACGGGGCCTCCCACTGCTGCTGTGCCACCGGAGCACAATTTCTATTCTCATCCTGAAGCAAAGTTCTTAACCCGAGGTAATATTTCTGGGTTAGTGGAGTCCATAACCTGAAGCGTATGTAACCTGAAGTGTATGTAACCCGAGGTACCACTGTATATTAATCCCTTGTATCTTTGGAACCTATTTATCAACACCATAATGACTGATGAACCAACGTATACTTGAGGGAAACAATAAGTTTATCTATTTACATATATAGTACATAGTTCTGCAACCTTAATTATATATCTTTGTAATTTTGTTATTGCTGTTTTCCTGTTTTTTTAATGCTTTTAATGTATTTTTCTTTTTCTCTTCTCTTTTATTTCTTATTTACCTTAACTCACTGTAATACTCTCAATAAAACACAAATAAGCAAACAAAATTAATTCCATGTATCCAGCTGGAATTTGTTATAGGCTATCCTTTCCTAACCCTTAGGAGATTTATCCTGCTTAAATCAACATTATGGCAAAAAAGGCAAAGGACCCCTGGACAGTTATGTCCAGTCAAAGGCGACTAGGGGTGTGGTGCTTGTCTCACTTTTCAGGCCGAGGGAGCAGATGTTTGTCCGCAGACAGCTTTCCGGGTCATGTGGCCAGCAGGACTAAACCGCTTCTGGCGCAACGGAACACCGTGACAGAAGCCAGAGCGCACAGAAATGCTCTTTACCTTCCCGTCATAGCAGTACCTATTTATCTACTTGCACTGGTGTGCTTTCAAGTTGCTAGGTTGGCAGGAGCTGAGACAGAGCAATGGGAGCTCCATTGTGGGACTGGAACTGCTAACCTTCCGATCGGCAAGCCCAAGAGGCTCAGTGATTTAGACCACAGCGCCACCCGCTCCCTTTTCAGTCTCTCAAAAGAATGTCAGCCAATCCTCCACAGAAGGTCCCTTTGGATAATTCCACACATTAAGGTAAAGGTAAAGGGACCCCTGACCGTTAGGTCCAGTCGTGACCGACTCTGGGGTTGCGGCGCTCATCTCACTTTACTGTCTGTGGGAGCCGGTGTACAGCTTCCGGGTCACGTGGCGAGCATGACTAAGCCGCTTCTGGCGAACCAGAGCAGCGCACGGAAACACTGTTTACCTTCCCGCCGGAGCGGTACCTATTTATCTACTTGCACTTTGACGTGCTTTCGAACTGCTAGGTTGGCAGGAGCAGGGACCGAGCAACGGGAGCTCACCCCGTCGTGGGGATTCGAACCGCCTGATCGGCAAGTCCTAGGCTCTGTGGTTTAACCCATAGCGCCACCCGCGTCCTAATTCCACACATTAGCGATCTCAGTTTCTGCAGCGGTCAATAAATTTGCCGCCTTTCATTGTTCCAGATACTCCAGAAGCAGCACCAACAAAGGTAGCGGGTAGAAGCTACTTGAGGCAAAGATTTTATAGCATTTCACCATATTCCATGCTCAGTTGTTAAGGGACAGCAGCCGCCACGCAGTTTGAGTCCAGATTCCTCTTGGGTCACCCGTGAAGAGCATCCTTACCTGCCATTGCCTGCAGCGAAGGGAATGCGTGGTACGTCTTGGTGTCCAGCTGACAGAGGCGGCGCCCAAAGACCTGGCAGAGATGCTGGATCATGTTGGTGATGCGCGACAAGTGGTTGTTGGAGGTGCAGATGAAGGAGAAGAGGCATTCTACGGGGTCCTGTCGCAGCACCCGCACCCCTGAGAAGATAAGAGGGTGGGAGGGAGGCAACGTCATATTTACAGGACCGTCTCTCCTGGTCTGCCCCGCAGAGGACCTTAAGGTCCATAAATAATCATAGTGTAGAGGTCCCGGGCCCTAAGGAAGTCAGATTGTCCTCCACCAGGGCCAGGGCCTTCTCAGTGATGGCTCCGACCTGGTGGAATGCTCTGCCCCATGAGACCAGGGCCCTGCAGGATTTAACTTCCTTCCGCAGGGCCTGTAAGACAGAGCTATTCCGCCTGGCTTTCAATATGAACTTAGCCTGATCTTTTATTCCCCTTCCTCCCTCCCCTCCCCTTTTATGAAGATTACCTGCTTTGGGATCCCACAGCGATGTCTCCCCTCGCTGGCCCAAATAGGACTAATTCAGCCAGCTAGCCCTGGTGATCATCTAATGTTTATAGGATGGATTTCTCCCTAAATTGATTTTTGAATTCTGAATTTATTGTTATTCACGTTTTATACTGTATTTTATGCTGGTTTTTGTTGCATCAATTAAGTGTTTTAAATTTGTTGTTAGCCGCCCTAAGCCCGGTTTTCTGAACCGGGAAGGGCGGGGTATAAATAAATAAATATTTATTTATTATAACAAACACCCACCTAACTGATAGAGCTTGAAAAACACACACACACACACACACTTTTCAAATAAGCTGAAAAGGGTGTCCCAGACGGATGGCTCTCGGTGGCTAAGGGCTGTATGCACTCAGCAACCCTGTCAAATTCATTATCAGGTACAGTGTGTTTTTAAAAAAACCCAACCCCCCCCCAAGTTTCTAGTCCCTGAGGCAGCAAACTAGGGTTGAAGACATGTAGGCAACATATTGTGAAATACAAGAAGCATATTCCTTGCTGAGAGGGAAAAAGAGGCCAAGTAGGCTTGTGGTTTGTTGGCCTGAAACGGAAATCCAGGACCTCCTCCCAATCTTCCATTAAAAGCAGAAGACTCTCAAATTAGCAAACTGAGCAAATGTACCTAGTTGGCATTATTTATACAAGTTATGCGATGTAACTTTTTTTTTTTTTTGCTGCTGGACAGAGGTGACTTTGCAGCAGATTTCTGGACTTTTCAAATGCAGCAGTAGAAAGCCGTCGTGGCAAACACTAGGGCTACATAACACCGGTCCTGAGAGATCTGCATTGGCTCCCAGTACGTTTCTGGGCACAATTCAAAGTGTTGGTACTGACCTTTAAAGCCCTAAACGGCCTTGGTCCTGTATACCTGAAGGAGCGTCTCCACCCCCATCATTCAGCCCGGACACTGAGGTCCAGTGCCGAGGGCCTTCTGCGAGAAGAAAGGTTACAGGGAAGCAGACAGAGGGCCTTCTCGGTAGTGGCGCCCGCCCTGTGGAACGCCCTCCCTTCAGATGTGAAGGAAATAAGCAGCTATTTTATCTTTAAAAGACATCTGAAGGCAGCCCTATTTAGGGAAGTTTTTAATATTTAATGCTGTATTGTTTTTAACACTCGATTGGGAGCCACCCAGAGTGGCTGTGGAAATGGGCGGGGTATAAATAATAATAAATTATTATTATTATTATTATTATTATTATTATTATTATTATTATTATTACATATGGCGATCAGAACAATAGATCCCCTCTTTAACATTGCTTGTCTGCATGTATCCAAAGACCTTGCTGCAGCTGGAAGGACAAGACATGTTATTCCCTTAAAATAAGAAGGGGGAAATGAAGCTAAAATGACTGGGAGTCCAAGTCTCACACCTGCTTCTGTGTGAAAATGTGTGCATTTGGTATCGTGCGATGCAGTCCTGACGTAGCTCTATTAGTCCCAGGTAAAGGAAACAGCAAAAAGACCAAGGCCTCCTGCCTCCATCACCTGAGATGTGCTGGTGAACTAACTGGGAAAACTGCACCCTCTCCTCTCTCTCTTCCATCATATTAGTTATCCTTCCCTGGTGCCATCACAGTTAATCGAGTTGCAATGCCACCCTGAACCTCACCTACCTGGGAACTTGATGGCCACTTCTCGGAAGTGAGAGTCCACATAGGACCAGCCCTGGTACAACGCAGACAAGTTGACGTGCAGCTGGAAATAATCCTGGAGGATCTGCGAGGGAGTCAGCCCATCCGTCCCCCGGACCAGCTCTCCTGACAAATGGCCGCCCGGGCGCTCGCTGGTACCAGCGCGGAAGGCTTCGGGCTGTGCCTGCTTCCTGCCTTTCTTCAGCGGTGGCTCAGAGAGGCTGTCTTCTTCTCTGCTGCCATCCTCCTTCTCCTCTTCATGAAGCGTGTACCAGAGCTGTTCTTCTGACTGGGTGAGGGTCCAGACACGGCCTGCCAACACACCAGTCCAGTAGCCAGGGCTGGTTTCGGACCACCTGAGAGGAACGCAAGGCTAATTAGCAGCAGGGACAAACCGACTGCAGTTTGGAAAAAGCTAACCTAGGCCTTCCTCCGCCTTTCCCTTTATGCTCCAGAAGGTGGCAAGTCCTGTATCTTTGGAGTCACAAGGCCCGTCACCACCTCACAGCCACAGCTATGCTACACTATCCTACAGTACACTTCCACCAACTACAGTGGTACCTCAGGTTAAGAACTTAATTCGTTCTGGAGGTCCGTTCTTAACCTGAAACTGTTCTTAACCTGAAGCACCACTTTAGCTAATGGGGCCTCCCGCTGCCACCGCACTGCTGCCCGTGCGATTTCTGTTCTCATCCTGAAGCAAAGTTCTTAACCCGAGGTACTATTTCTGGTTAGCGGAGTCTGTAACCTGAAGCGTATGTAACCTGAAGCGTCTGTAACCCAAGGTACCACTGTACACGACACCTTGTTTCACACGCACGCTCTGACATCAAATGCGTCCCCCCCCCCAAACTGCAAAAAACTGGCTCCCTTATTAACTTTCTATTCAGCATTGTATCCTCCCAGTTCTGTAGCAGCCCAAAGGGATAAAAACATCCTAGACGGGTGATGTTCTGGGCTCCTGTGATCCTTCACAAAGGAATCCAAAGAACTGAGAAAGATTTGCTCATTCTACTTTATGAAGTCGTGTATTTGATTAGAAGCAGGATGTTTGTGGTTTTTTAAAAGATCTGAATCAAAACACTATTGATCAATAATGCAGACTTTTGGAAGCTACATACTGAGACCATCTGGCTCTGTAGTGGCAGGCAGTAGCTTCCCACAGTTTCACAAACAGTTCACAGTTTCCCTACCTGGAGATGCTGGAGGATAAAAACATAATAAGAGGCCTGTTGGATCAGGCCAAAGGCCAGCATCCTGTTCACACTGTGGCCAACCAGAAGCACTCTCCCTTCCTGTGGTTTCCACCAACTGGTATTCAAAAGCATTACTGCCCGACAGTGGAGGTAGAACATTTCCACTGTAGCTATTAGCTGCTGATAGTCCTCTCGTCATCCAAGTTGGGGGCTGCCACTAACAGCCAGATGTCCACTGGAAGCTCACAACCAGGTCCCTAGCACAAGAGCACTGTTCCTACTTGTGATTCCCAACATTTAGTATTTGGTAACTTACTGCCTTCTGCGGTGGAGGGAGAGCAGAGCCATCATGGCTAGCAAGATTCGAACTTGCAACCTTCCTCAAGCAATGCACGCACTCTGCCACACAGACAGATATACCCCTCTGACATATCACAGCCAGCATTCGAGATTCACCAGGCGCCAGACACATTTTGCGCCTGGCTATCAGCCACTCGCAACCAAGCAGACACTCAGGTACCAGGATGATGCCTGATGTTTCCACCACCTGGAAGTACATGCCTGGGGATCCTTGGATCTTGACGGTTTTCACACACTAGCAACACATCCTGTAGAATTCTATCTGTGCAGTCAGATAGATGAATGTCAGGAAGCAAAAAGTCGTATTGAAAAATACGGCTTTCAAGCCGTCTGGCCCCCAAATGGCAACTAGGCATTCCGTTTCAGCGACTGCAACCCTGGTTTAACCTGGTTTAACCCTGGTGCCTAGTTTTTATATACTGTATAGTCGTACCTTGGTTGCCGAACACCTTGGTACTCATACATTTCGGCTCCCAAACGAATGAAAACCAGAAGTGAGTGTTCCGGTTTCTGAACATTTTTTCAGAAGCCAAACATCTGATGCGGCTTCCGCTATTGTTTCTGGCGCACCTGCACAATTGGAAGCCAATCGAATGGACTTCTGGAACACATTCTGTTCGAAAACCAAGGTACGACCGTATGAGGTTCTAATGCTGATCACAGCTGCTTTCCGCTGATGGTTGTGGGGAGCAGGAGAGACGTGGAGTGAAAGCTGCAATCCTAACCTCACCTACCCGGGAGTAAGCCCCACTGAATTCAATAGGATGTACTTCTGAGTAGACCCTGTTGGAATCAGGGCTTTTTCCCCAGGGGGAACTCACAGGAGCTCAGTTCCGGCACCTCTCAGGTGGGCGCCATTCATTGCTGTTCATGGTGAGTTCTGGCACCCTTTTCTAGAAAAAAACAACCCTGGTTAGAATTGTGCTGTAGCCCGCCAGTCTAAACAAGTGTCCCTTTTTCCAAAGCGGATTCTCTCTCCCGAATTATTAAAAAAAGAGCAGTTGCTATAGTAAGTAAGCAACCCATCCTTTGCAAGCCCGTGGCCAGGATGCATAGAATTTGCAGGTGATCTTGAGGTTCCGTGGGGGAGACACAATGGTGCTTTGCTGAAAGCGCAATGCAGAGCCATCGGCAAGAGGGCAGAGCTGGCCATATTTATACATATATGGAGGCTTTTTTGTGCCTTTCGGACGCGCAGCTTCATCTCCATCTCCATGCCAACCAGAAAAAAACCTGCACTGCACAAGAGCCTTGCAGAAAGAGGAGAGAAGGTGGCAACCCGAGAGAGGGGGAGCAGGGAAGGGGGAGGGGGCAGCGAGACAGGGGCACCTTGGAGATAATAATACAAGGGAGGGAGAAAGAGATTGGGGCGGGGGGGACGGGACACCCTTTCTTAGCAAGGCTGCCATTCCGCGCTCGGGAGCCGCCAGGGGGCGCAACTAACCGGAAGGTCTGCCCGCCACAGAGCACCAGGTCGAGGCGGAGTTGGGCGCGCGGGCAAGGCAGGGAGCGCCAGGGGGTAGCGCGAGGCAGCGGGGCCGGGCGGGAGTCCATGCCGTTCCTCCTTCTGCTGCTGCTGCAGCTGCCGCCGCCTTCGGGGTGGACGCGGGGGTGCCGCTCCTGCCGCCGCCGTTGTTGCAGCTGCAGCCGAGCTCCAGACCAGAGCAGCTCCGAAGAAGCCCGCAAAATCACCATAGAGTTGTTGTTGGTTTCCCCCCCCCCCACCGCCCCCCTCGCTCTCCGCCGAGTTCGGAGGAGGGATCGCGCAGGGGTAGACGGAGCTCGGGCGCTGCCCGCTCTAGGCCGCTGGGGTATACTCTGTGGCTCGAGTGGGCGGAAGTACTGGCCTGGGAGGCGTCCCCGAGAAGCCCGTTCCTGCGCCTGGGAATTGGGCGGGCGCCGCGAGCTAGGCCTCTCAGGAGAAACGGCCACAAAATGGAAGGGAGGGGAGGTTGCTCGCCCCCCCGCCCAGTTCAACACTATATATCGAATAATATCTATAGGCATTACACTCTACCTGTTACACTATATGTGTATTTATTAAATATATTATTAATACATTATTAAATATATGTATATTTCTGTAGTTCGAGATAGTACAGTACTTTCTGTATCTTTTATCCATATGGCCACAACATGGACAGATGATTGGGGAAGTCCTTTCTCTCTGCTTACCCCTTTCAATACATTCTATTAATTAAAGTCCCTCAGTGGAGACCATAATAATAATAATATAAATATAATAATAATTTGTTATTTATACCTCGCCCATCTGGCTGGGTTTCGCCAGCCACTCTGGGCGACTTCAACACAATATTCAAAACACAATTGCTTTATCACTACCCTAGGAAGAAGAGTTTGGATTTGATATCCTGCCTTTCACTCCCTTTAAGGAGTCTCAAAGCGGCTCACATTCTCCTTTCCCTTCCTCCCCCAAAACAAACACTCTGTGAGGTGAGTGGGGCTGAGAGACTTCGGAGAAGTGTGACTGGCCCAAGGTCACCCAGCAGCTGCATGTGGAGGAGCGGGGAAGCGAACCCAGTTCACCAGATTATGAGTCCACCGCTCTTAACCGCTACACCACACTGGCTCTTGATAAAACATCAAACATTAAAAACTGCCCTCAACACTGACTAGGTCAGTAAACAAGCAAACACCTGACTGATTCTAAGCAAGAAATACTTGTAATGGTTTGCCTTTGGGCCGAAATCGAATAAAATTCATATCCCCCACCTGAAAGAGAAGCTAGTGTGTTTTGTGCAAATTGGCATTTGCACTTCTTTTCTCTGTAAAATGGAATCAAGGCTGTGGTGCACACCCCCTTGCGAAAGGGGTTTGTGTCCGCGTTCCTGCCACCACCCATGATACAATTACGTACTGAGAAGAACTCTGAAGCATCACTTCGCATCAAGTCTCTTCCACAGGCTTGTTGGTCCCACAGACCAGAATGCAGATCAGGTTGTGAGATGGGGGACAAAGTAGGGAGAAATTATGTTGCTGTTGGGAGTGCTGGAAATGTGGAGATTCAATACCTAAAGCACGCAATGTACAGTGTGCAAGAATTAGTTCAGATGATTGGAAGGCTCTCCATAGAATAAAGTGGGTTTTTTAAAAGTGCTATTTTTTTAAAGGCTGTAGTGACTTTCAGCATCACTATCCCAAAATGTGGCTCAGAGAATGATCTGATGCACTTCTGCTGCTGAATGAATCTAACCCAGGGGTCTGCAACCTTTAAGACAAAAAGAGCCACTTGGACCCGTTTCCGAAGAAAAAACAACAACTGGGAGCCGCAAAACCATTGTGACACTTAAAACAAATATATCTCCAGAGCCACGATCTGACAGCGGGCGGGAAGGTGATGTTGGGACGGTGTGTGACTAATGCACGCACCGGCCCCATGCGACTTCACAGCCAGTACAGCGCCCGCCACAGTGAGGAGTGTCGGTAGTATCCGCCCCGGAGCCGCAGCAAAGATGTAAAAGAGCCACATGCGGCTCTGGAGCCGCAGGTTGCAGACCCCTGATCTAACCAAACCTGGTTCTGTGAACGCCCAGGATGGGAGACCCCTTGGGAACCATATTTAGCCTGCTTTGAGTCCTCTGGAGTTTGCTGGGTAAGAGCAACATAGGGATTGTTAAAAAAGCTACCTTATCCATATGTTGTTTCTGGTGGTTGCTTTTTAAAAAGCAAATGAGGTTACCAAAATCACTTTTTAAAAAGCAAATGAGGTTACCAAAATCACATCAGCACTTGGGCACATATTGTTAGTGCTAAATGAACAGAAAATAATGGCAGCAGTGGTGTTTTTACCCTGGCAGCAGAGTTGAATCTGCAGCTACACAACTCCATGCTTTCAGACCAAGAATGGACAAAAGTATAGAAAAGGCAGGAGAACATGAAAAAGCAAAACACTTTCCCTCATCTCTTCTGGTAACAAGAAAGAAAGAAAGAAAGAAAGAAAGAAAGAAAGAAAGAAAGAAAGAAAGAAAGAGAAAACAGACACCGTTGGTTCCAAAAGAGCCATTTTATTTTCTAAGAATTGATAGAGATCTTCTTCCTCCAAAATAAATACAAGTACAAATGCCCACCCGGCTGCAGCAGAAAGAAGAGCCGGGGGCCTACAGGGCAAGGGGGGGGGGTGGGATCAGACAGAGCCAGGTTCCAAAAAGCTATAGTATCAAAATGTGCGAGTGAGAAGACAGCGGCCCTGCTCTGCAGAGTGTCGGTAGGACTGGGCCGAGGAAAGGCTAATGGATCAGGGCAGGTACTATGATGCAGGGAAAGGAGGGGCCGGGGTCTGTGTGTTGGTGAGTGTTTATGGAGCAGCCCAAATAATTTACATTCTCCCACTATTGTACAGTATTTTACACAGGCCCAGAGGACCTCAGGACCCAGACAGTGGGGTATTGTCCTTGGGAGCTGTACAGGCAGCTGGGTGTCGCTCACGCAGCTGGTCAGGCCAATTCCAGGCATGGAAGAAGGAACGGCAGGCTGGCACAAGAGGTAGGCTTGCCCACACGGAGGGCACAGTGCTCTGTGGGTGTGCTCAGCACACTGGAGGGGCCGTTGGGTGCTCTACGCAAGCTCCCGCAGCCTGGCCACCGAGGGCCCGGGCTTCTCGAGGCTGGAGCTCCCCGCTCCCCTCTCCCGTACAGTCCAGCTGCACCGAGCGAGCAGCCTGGGCGGGAGCCCCGGTGAACTTCAGTCACTCTCGCTGGAGTCGCTGCTCTGCTCCCCTTGCACCTTGTTGCGGTGCTGCATGGCCCGGTGGTAGGCGATCTGGACAGACTTGCGGATGTTGGACTTGCGCCCCTCCAGCATCTTCTCCTTGTCCAGGTCCTGGTTCACACCCAGGGGCACGAGTTTGGTGCGGGGCAACCACTGCCTGCAAAGGAAACAAGAGCGACCCAAACTCACTAGGGGTGCTTTCCTCCCCTGAAAGGAGAGGGCTTCCGCGTTCTCCCAAGTCTCACCCCCCTCATCCTTTCTCGGTATGGGGCAGCTCCACCCCCAACTTTATCCACCAGGTTTCGGTCCAGACATGGCAGCCCCCCCATCTCTGCCAACTTCCGTCGTAGGCCCTTACCAGGTACGCTTGTTGTCGAAGAAGAGGACCAGGTAGAGATGCTCCCGGGCTTCCTGAGTCATCTGCTCTCCCAGCTTCAGCACCTCCAAGGGGGGTACGGGGATGGGGACGCCGTGGTGGAACATCCCTTCCCGTGGCATCTTAGGGTCAATGATCTGCCAACAGGGGAAGATCGGACATCAGAGAAGGGAAACTACACAGTTGTTACAATAGAGAAATCGTTGCGCATGAACACACACACACACACCAGACAAGGAAAGGCTGCACTCATATGTAGAGTGCTGGAGTGGGGAAACTCCCAGGTTCAAGCCCCAGTTTAACTGTGAAACTCACCAGCTGGCCTTGTGCAAGTCTGTATGTCAGCCTAACCCACACAGCATGCAAATTGACTGCCCTGAGCTGCTTGGAGGAGATGGAAATGTGACAAGTAAACAGATTGGACAATTCAGCATTGAGGCTTTAAGGACCAATATGGCCTTTACACGTTAAACAGCCTGAGTTGTTCACGGCTCGCAATTGCACACGTATGCTGCTGGCAGTCACAGAATTGGGATTCCCCCCAAACTTTTCCTGTCTGCAATTCTTCCTGCCCCTTAAAACAGGTTTCTGTCCTTCATGGGTGTTGAAGAAACATTTCAAAGGCTCTGTGTCATGCATAGTAACGTGATGAGAGATTAGAGAAGTGCGCAATCTTAGAACTTAAATGTTGCGTTTAGAATAAATTACTAACACAACAACCATTTAATGTCTCCGTTAACACCTGGCTTATGCTAAAAGGTACTGATTAGGCAAGTAGTCCATCCATATCATTGCTAACAAACTGGTTGTATGGTTGCACAGCTTAGGGTTTAAGGACATGGAGGCTGAAATCTTGAGTTCAATTTTCAACAACAAAAGCACTGACAGAAGGTAGTAAGGCAGAACTGGGGACCCTTGCTCATCCAGATGTTGTTGGACTACAACTCCCATCATCCTTGACTATTGGCCATGTCGGCTGGGGCTGATGGGAGTCGGAGTTTTTTCTCTCTCTCACACACACACACAAAATAACCCTATTTTTTCTCCGCAAGAATTAGAAAAGTTCATTAAAAAACAACAACTGAATACTGTGTTTCTGTCGGTTTCTACACTATAGCATTTTCTATTCTGCATAAACGTTCCTGTCTCGCAAGACCTGTCCTTGAACCTTCACTTGGTTCATAACCTCATTTTCTACTATTGTTTCAAAAGGTGCATCACCCCTACAAGGTTTCCAGTGGCTTAACCCTCCTTAACCCTCCTCAGTGCATATGTAGGCGTGCTCATCAAACCCACCAGTGCCGGATAAGAGGGGTAACCCCTGCACTTGGCCCACACCAGGTCCAGGGCATCCAGAGGGGAGTCCTCATCCTCGGACAGCCAGCCGGCCGATCGGCTGATGCTCTTCCGTACCACTGCACAAAGACAGAACGAGAGGGGAAAGAGTGTAATTGCCATCCTTCTCACCAGCCCCATCTCCAGAGAGGAAAGCAGAGGAAACGCTGCCCCGAATACTCACTGCCATGGCCCACCCCTCGGCCGGTTCCCACTGAGTAGGACTCGTTTTCTGTTCCCGACGTGTCTTCGCTGCTGTCCTCTGGGAAATTCACGCGGGAGAAAGAGGGCTTCCCTCTGC